AAACCCAGAGCCCGCATGCATCCCTTCTGTCCTTGCCAGCTTTTCCTTTGTTCCAGCTCAGTGGTTCTCAGTCTGTGGGTCGAGACCCCCTTGGGGGTCGAATGTCCTTTTTACAGAATTGCATATCAGATATCCTTCTCATGAGATATTTACAGTAGCAAAATTACAGTTACAAAGTAGCAATGAAATAATTTTATGGCTGGGGGAGTCACCACAACATGAGGCACTGTATTAAAGGGTCGCAGCATTAGGAAGGTTGAGAACCACTGTTCCAGCTGAAGAGTCTGAACTCTGGGAGACAGCTCTGCCCAGCACTTGGGTCTGTGGCAGGGCCTGACTTGCTGGTAAAGTTAGCAGGGCTGCCTTCTTGCTCTCAGAGGACAAGTTGGCTCACAATGGTTTGGTCCCCAGGGGCTGATTTTTTACCCTTATTTTCTCTGCCTAAAAATAGCGTTTTCTATCTTTGGTGCCTCATTTAAAACAAAAATACTTGTTGGCTAGAGGTTAGGGCAGCAGACTTCCTGGCCGCTGGCTGTTAGAGTACGGTGTGCAGTGAACTGTCCCCACAGCCTGTAGAAGCAGGGTCTGATTTAGCAGGATGTTCATCAGGAAAGGCAGACTAAACTCAGTTATAAAAAAGGGAGAAAGTACATCTAAGCCAGAGGAAAGTGGTCTCAGTGGATTCAACTCTCGAGTCAGAGAGGCCTGCTTGTTCAATGCGATACCCCCTGTAAAGCTGGGCCCCAGGTGCTGATTGCTTCTCTGTCAGGCATCCCCTGACAGAGGAGCAGCAGAGCTGACTCCTCGTGGGTCTTTGCCTTTCTGCAGCCCATCCTAGGGTGGGACCAGACTAGGACTGTACCAAAGGAGTGGGGCTGGACCCGGCATGCTCGTATCAGCCACTTCGCTTCCAGCACATCATCTCTGACTTAGTAGCCTCTCTGGTGACTTCATCGGGGTACTATGGTTTTTGTGCTCCTTTCTTCTGGCAGAGCCCAATTTTTGTGACTGAAGTGATGTGATGGTGCTGGGTTTTGGTGTGGGAAGGCCCTCAGATTTTCTCTACTGAAGGTGTATGGCTTAGTGCCCAGGGCTGAGGATCTGGAGTCTGGCAGGCCAGCTCCATGTCCAAGTTAGGGAAACTCTGAGCAAGTTGTTTACTTTCTTTAGGCAACCAGTGTATAAAGAGGACATTAATAGTGCACCTGGCAGGGTGGTTGTAATGATGAATGCACCACACCATGCCCATTGCCCAGCAGGCCATAAGGTGCATTACAGTCACATGATCACAGCCTAGAAGAAAAGCAGGTACCTCCATGACAAGTGAGGAGATATATCCTGGTTAGGCCAGAGCCTGCTCTTCTTGGAGCTGGGCACTCCACACCCCCAGCTGCAGGTTGCTGCCCCTGATTAAGCTTGTGTGTTTGAAGTATGTGCTATTTTTTCAGTAGGTTCGAGATTCTGAAGAGAGGTTTGGTGGGAGTAGTAGTAATTAACTCTCCTAAATCCTTCACAGTGGGATTTCATGACTGGAAGTAGGTGCCTTAGAGTCACATGGTACCGTCTGTTTTCTTCCTGTGGCTCAGAATATGGGGCCACATGCTTTATCCTTGTGACTTTGCAGGTTTGCAGACTGTAGCTTCTTGACCAAGACTTCTTGGAGCAATAGAGGCAGAGCAGTGACCACTCACTGTTCAAGACTACAGGGTGGGAAGCACCACCCTGTGTAACCTTGACACCGAGTGGCAGCATCCTCAATTTTGGTAGAACAGGAGATACCTCAGTGCTGGCCAGATTAGAATGGAGTATGCTGTGAGGCTTCTGGGAAGACACGAGGCTGCTTGACATCTGGGGCCAGGCTTGGGGCCAGGCTTGGGACCAGGCGCAAAACACATGCCAGAGGGCTCCTCCCTTTCCTAGTGGCTGCTGGGCTGGCAGCATTGCCAGCTGGCCTTTGTCCTAGTACATCCATGGCTTTCGGATGGGCTAGCCTGGGTTCTGGGTCCCCTTCCAGTTGACTTGAGCTCTTGGCTTCTCAGGGGCTTCCTGTATCTGCTTTTCTGAATAGAAGTCCCTAGAATTGCTCCCACCCAAGCCACTGTGAGAGGGAAAGACAGCTTGAGAAGAGAGGAGGCTGTGGTCTTGACTGGCTGTGAGGTAGCCAGACATTATCAGGTGACTTCCGGATGGGTGGCCAGATGTGGTAAGTGGTGACCATGCTGAGGTACTGCTTGAGAATCATGGAGGGCAGAGCTGGGAACCCCAGCTAGTCTTGTCAGGGATGAGCCTAGCCAGGAGGTTGTGGTGGAGGGTGCTGCTGAGAGCTGTGTAGGCCAGCTGGAGTGGTTGAGGGTCAGAGGTCAAAGGATGTATTGGCCTTCAGAGATGAAAGGGAAGACAAGCTCAGAGAAGCAGGTTTCTCTGTTTTTGGCCCTGTTGCCACCAAATAGCAAAGCCAGTTTGGAGACAATGAGGGTGTGGGGACCTGTGGAACACAAGATCAAGTGGAGGCAACCACATGGATGTGGCCCTTCTGGAGGATTGTGTGAAAAGAGGGCTGGATCTCATCTCGCCCCCAGGGTACTTGGAAAGTACAGTTTGTTAGAGTGCCTTTGATCTGCCCACAGAGTACATTTTTTTCTGAATGACACCTTGAGGTACTTCTTTGGTGGAAAATGTGAATTGTCCCTTTCAGAGGGAGGTGATATTTGTCCCTTATGGCACATTGGATGGACAGGGCTGATCCTGTTTACAAGGGATATTGTACCTACCCAGTGAGAAGTGGTGATGTAGAAGAAATTCAAAGTAATAGAGCTGATGTTATAAAGGACTTACTAACAGATTTGCTTAGGAGACCTTAAGTCACACAAGTGGAATTTAGCTGAAGGAGCTCTGCCTCCAGAATACCCCAAAGGTGAGCGGTCTGCTAACCAGACCTGTTGGAGAGGAGAGCAATTTAGGATGCTAGGGTATAAATGTTATTTCACCAGGATTGACCAACCTTTAGGCTGCATTCCCATAACAAAGGGCACATCACTGACAAACCAACCATTGGGCCCATCCCCAAAGATGGTCTTCTAATAGCAGCTCAAGGGGGCAGTGCAGGGTCACATCCATTAATAGTCCTGGTCGCCATCAAGTCACTGTGCTCTCAGCAGGAAAAGCACTATTCTGCCAGGTGGGCAAGATGGACCTGGGCAACAACTATTGGAAAAGACAACACTGGTGTACTTAAGAGATATTTCTGGCAATATCTTTTATGTGTAAATCTCCCATCTGCCCGGGTGGACAGACTTGCAGTCTCCTCTCTCTCTCTCTCTTTAAATTGTTCAAAGTGTGACTTGGGGCTGGAACCCGAAAGAGACTTAAGGATGACAGGGTATGTAAAGTGCATAAGCCTACTGTGTATATAAGCTAGTGAAACTTTCTCTTCAAGGCCGGCTCTTCCTTGGGCGTCAGCCAGAGCTGGACACGGTCTTCCTTCATCTCTATGTGTGTGGACTTATCCCTCCCTGGGAAGGCGTGCTGTTTCTATTGCAGTGGCTCTTGAGCACCTGACTCCCTCACCAGAGTCAGTGTCAGTCTTCCAAAGCTGGTGCTCGGGGGTCAGAAAGGTCCCCAGCCTGCACTGGACATGGGCTTTGCGGACAGCCATCTCACATGCCCAGGAAGGTGCTTCAAGGAAGGGCCCTTTGCATTGGCTCTTGTGACTAGAGGCAGCAGTGGGAGGTGAGAGTGTCAGTTCTGCATCCTGGCTTCCTTCCGCATCACTGTTTCCACCTATTAGCTACGTCTGGTTTTTCATTTAACTTGTCTTAATTAAAAAGAAAGCCAAGCAAACATGTATGTATGTTACTATGACGGTGGTGATCTGTCATTAGCCCCACAGCCTGTTCCTTTGGTGACCCCAGTGAGCCTGGGTCCTCATATGTCCTTCATGTAGCACGTCCTCTGCTACCAATATGACCTTTTGCTTTCTAAACTGTCTTCATTTCGTTACACAAGGTTGGAAATGCCTACTTTCTGTAGGAGGTCAAATGGCCACAGCTTAGGTCCCTGTGATGACTCCTTTAGATGAGTCTCCTTTCTAGAGCTAGCCTTAGTCGTCTGTGAAGAGCAGGGAAGTAACCTAGCCTTTCCTTGTGTATGATTTTGTTGTTTTTGTTACGGTTTTAAACTTAAATGGTGGCATGTTTTCTGTTTCTGTTTTGTTTTGTTTTGATTTTTTTTCCCACAGAGTGATTTTTTTTTTAATTTTTAAATTTTGTTTTGGTTTGGTTTTTTGAGACAGGATTTCTCTCTGTAGCCCTGGCTGTCCTGAAACTTACTCTGTAGACCAAGCTGGCCTTGAACTCAGATCCACCTGCCTCTGCCTCCCAAGTTGGGATTAAAGGTGTGTGCCACCACTGCCTGGCTTCCCAGAGTGATTTCTCTGGCTGTGGCCTCCTGCTGGTGGTAGCATGAGCTTCTGCGAGAGCCAGGCTCCCACAGCTCACACTAGCCCTGTCTGTGCTCAGAGGGGTGCTAGGGCCTGAGCAGGGTCAGTGGGAGGAGGTTTGGGCAACAGTTGGAAGGAATATGCTCAGAACAGGGTCTCTTATGCCACGGTGCATCTGTGAGTCTCTCCTACCTTGCTGTGGCTTTTAACTTAGGCCTGGGCTGGCCCAGGTCTGCAGGTGTGCCATGATGGCTTCCTTGAAGGAGGGAGCTGTGGAGGGCCACTGGCTGGGGACGAAGACTGGGGACAGAGGAAGGAAGGCCATAGTCTCAGTGGTCTGAGATAGCAATCTCTGGGGCCTTTTTGCCTCTTTACACCCTCTCTGTCTCAGCTTATCTCTGAGCACTCCGGGAAGAAAGAAACCACACAGTACTGGCATTGGCCCAAGAGAGCCCAAACATTTCTGGCTGGGCTGCCAGTGAGGTCAGGTGCCAGAGTGATTGAAACAGGCTGTGTGTGCTTTTCTGATGAACCCATCTCCCCTCCCCCTGCTTATTTCCAGGAAATGCTACTGTAGATAAGCTGGAGGACTTCATCAACAATATCAACAGTGTCTTGGAGTCCTTGTATATTGAGATAAAAAAAGGAATCACGGAAGATGACGGGAGACCCATTTATGCTCTGGTATGTGTGAGAAAGTGCCCTCTAGTGGCATTTTGGGGAACTGGAGCAGAGGGCTCTACAGGTAGCCCATTCCTGACCTCTCCTGAGGTGGACGGAGAAAGGGCCACTGGTGATCAACTTCGAGGTGGAGACACAGCCTGATCCTTATGTGATTTATTTTTAGGTGAATCTTGCTACAACTTCAGTTTCCAAAATGGCCACGGATTTTGCCGAGAACGAATTGGACCTGTTTAGGAAGGCTGTGAGTGCAGTAGCTCTCTTTGCTACCCTGGCTGTACTTGTAATGGGAGGAAATGGAAGCTGCAGTTGTGGAGGAGTGACAGGCTTTAATCCACCTGCCAAACAAATCACCTGCGAGCTTGTTGGAATGCAGGGTCGCAGTCCTACCCAAGAATGCTGAACCCAGATCCGCACTTTAATGAGGAGCTCCCTGAATGTTGATGTGCTAGGGTCCCGTTCTTTGGTTCTGTAGCTTTGGAGCAGTTTGGTCAGTCTGTCTGTCACACACTGGCTAAGACAGTGGTTCTCAGTCTGGAAGCATATAGCAGTTATTGGAAAGGTAAGAAAGGTGCCCCTCTCTGGCCCCACCTGGACTGAGCCCTTCAGGACAGGTGGATTTTCTAGTTTTATGGTTTCATGATGATCCTGGGCTGCAGCAACGGCATGGAGAACGAGGCTGGGACACACCTGTGCATACATAGGACACCTGGCACCTGTCCTGCCATAGATAGAAGTTGTAGGGAATGTGCCTAACCCACCCGAGTCCATGCCGCCCTCTCCTCCTGACCTACACTGGCTCTGCTCCTCCACCTCTGAGTGAGGAGAGGTGCTACCTCATGCGCCCGGTCATTCTTTCTTCTCCTTCAGGGAGATGGAGGCAGGGCAAGAGCCCTACTCTGGGATGGTGTGACAGGAGCGGCCATCTCAGCAGTTGGACTGGACATGTCTACTGATGTCTGTTATAAATTATGCTCCTGAAGGGCTGTCTGTGGGCCAGTGTGTCTACGTGGGGGCCGTTTTAGCCCCTTCCTACCAGGGCGGGCCGGTGGCTTAGGTGCTGAGTTTGCTGTCCCAACAGATGAATGAGGCACCTCTTTCTCTTGCAGTTGGAACTGATCGTTGACTCAGAAACTGGCTTTGCTTCTTCTACAAACATTTTGAACCTGGTCGATCAACTCAAAGGCAAAAAGATGAGGAAGAAGGAAGCGGAGCAGGTGCTGCAGAAGTTCGTGCAGAGCAAGTGGCTGATTGAGGTACCTGATGGTCTTCGGCCTGGTTCACTTGAAAGTGCACAACAGTTTTTCTTTCAAATCCACATTCATATCCAACCAGTGTCAGTTGAGCCAGGCCCAGCTGTGGCGGTTCCTTCTCTGCTTTAAGCTTTCAGTGACCTATGAGGAGTGCCTGTGTTCCCTGACACTCAATGGTCTGTCTTGGGTGCTGCAGCCACAGGTAGAAGAGGCTGGAATCACTAAAGGGTTCACCTGAGCCCTGGTGCAGGCAGAGGCGTTGTGTGATGGTTGGGATGAGAATGGCCTCCACCGGTTCATATGTTTGAGTGCTTGGTCCCCAGTTAGTGGAACCATTTGGAAAAGATTGGGAGGTGTGGTCTTGGTGGAGAAAGTGTGTCACTGGGGGGTGGGCTTTGAGGTTTCAAAGACTCCCATCATCACCAGTGTGCTCTCTGCCTCCTGCTTGTGGATCAGGATGTGAGCTGTCAGCTACTGCTCTAGTACCATGCCTGTCTGCCGTGATGGCGTGGTCTCTAACCCTCAGAACTGTGAGCTCCAAATTCAATGCTTCCTTCTATAAGTTACCTCGGTCCCAGCAGTGAAAAAGTAAGTAAGATAAAGGGCAAGTTGCTGGGATGGGCATGGCCCTACCACCTGCCTAGGTCTGCTTCCTGGTGCAGGTGACTGCTCTTTCATTCCTGTACCTGGGCAGAAAGGAATCCTGGCATGGAAGGGGCAGGAGTGAGGGTGTGAAGTGCCTTGCTAAGCCCCTGCCATAGGCGGCTTTTCCAGTGCCTGTTCTGGTGGCATTGTCGGTTGGCATGATGTTGCTGAGGGCCGGTGCTCTCGGTCCCTCCACTATGACACTGACCCTAGAGGTGCAAAGAGGACATGCAAACAGTGGGTCTGGGAGAGAAGCAGGCTTTGTGATGAAGCCTCCTGGCTGGTGTAAAGCAAATGCCCCAAGTTTTGTCCCATAAAAGGCACTGCTGTTCGCATAAGCCCAGGCCTGGACTCAGGTTGGCCTGTTGATCACAGCTCCGCCCCCACAAGAGCCCCAGCATATATCTGCTGGCAGTGCTGTGTTGTCCTCCACTTCTTAGGGAAGTCAGACCCATAGCCTGAAGCCACCATCTGTGGCCTCAGTTGCCCTTAACTTCCTCTCTAGGAACCTTGCTACAGTTCTAATCCTGGGTATCGGCTGGGAAGAGAGGTACGAGTGGCCATCGGGAGTGAGGACGAGCTTGGGGACATCCTGTGTGATGGTGTGTGTTGAGCACAGCGTGGTGGTTGGCTCATGTTGACACTCTGTAGTTGTGAAGCCCAGGTAGCAGCCTGGTTAGGTGCCTGTAGCACACACCCGTGACTCTCAGTCTCTTGTCCTCTGGGCTGGGTTTGTCCATGTGGAATGTTCTTGGAGTGCTCTCTTTGAGGCAAATTTTTTGAGAGCAGGGCTTCTGACTTCATTGCCCTGACAGACTGTGCCTGACACCTGTAGTGCTCGATAAATGCTTCCTGAATGGGGGACTGGGCTAGCAGATGAAGTTCCAGAGACAGTGTACTTACAACTTACAGATGGTAGTAGAAACGTTTGCTCACTGTGGACAGATCTTTTTGCCCAGCTCTTTGCTGCTGAGAGGAAGGTTCCCACCCCCAGTGTCTTGAGGCCTACCTACCATGGTGTCCATGGCATCCAGGTCCTTCTGGTACCCTCCTTTCAGAATGGAGATGCTGGCTCTGCCTTCTGCAGGGAAAGCTGAGCTGTTACCTGGGCTTGATGCGAGTTCTGAAGAATTCTGTGAGCTATTGTGGAGGGGAGTGCTACAGAAACCAGTGTGCCAGCTGCCTCTGCCTTGGCACCCATCAGCCCCTCAATCTCCTCAGTCCTGCCACTGGGCACCTCTGGAGTTCTTGTTTACCGTGTACCTGGTGAAGGAAGGCATAGGTTCAGGCAGTAGAGGGTGTGGTTGGGAGAGCACTTCCTGGCTCCTCCACTGTCTCTGGCTGTGTTTTCTGGCCTAGACAGCCTGGGCAGGGCGGCTGTGAGTTCTGTGGGGGACCTACTGAAGGACTGATGACTGGGTTGCTGGCTGGTCCCTGACCAGCCTTCCTGGGCAGCCAGTTCCTTGATCAGAGGGACTGAGTTTTACAGTCACCTTTAGCCTCAGAAATGCAGCCTGCATCTGCTAAGAAGGCTTCCCACATGTATCGCTCAAGGGCACTTTTCCGTCCTGGGGCCCTGGCTTGGCTCTGAGGTACTCTCAGCTGGGTGGTCCACTGGGAGGCTCTGGACTGGAGGGTGGTAAGTGCAGGCAGGCATCAGACCCTGGTCCACCAGGGACTAGCCACATCTCCCCACATGCTAGGCTGGCTCCCTCTAGTGGGGTCTGGCCTCAAGAGCAGGGGAAGGTGGGTCATGGAGCTGGCTAAGTAGTGGGTTGCCCCTATGGATCTGAGATCTTTGGGAGGTAACAGGCACTGGACTGAGAGTCAGCCATGCTCCCACCACACCCGAGGAGGCTCCAAGTCTCTGTCTACCTAGCAATATCTACTGCTCAGGACTAGTCTCTGTGTACAAAGGCCTTCCTAGTTTTGAACTCCCTTCCCCTGCCCCCCTTCTCCTAGCCCACCTCCACTCACTTCTTTGGTTACCAGGCCCCTTCATAGATGGATCCCCGAGCTTCTGCCTTGGAAAGGAGCCCAGCATCCACAAGCACCCTCCCCACCATGTGGTGGGGTGGGAGGGAACTGAGGTGTGTAACTGTCCCACACTCAAGTCGGCTCTGGCTGTGAGAGACAGTGAGAGCAGGAGGACCACTGGGGCTGTCTCCTCAGCCTCCCTCTACTTGGGTGCCATTAGCTTCCCTCGGGCCACCTCACATGCCCAGGACCCCCAAGACTCTACGCTGGCTCTTCCAGCTTCTCATCAAAGAAGCAGGGATAGCCGTGAGTGTGGCTGAGTCCACATTGCTGATTGTTGACTGTGATGAAACTCTTCCAGCAGACTTGCCTCTGCCTGATAGGTGGCGGTGTTTGCTACCTGGTTATGTAACTGTACAGTTCCTGGGGAGTGGATTGTACACAGACACAGAGACCAGGAGGCCTGACTTCCTTTGGAGGCTCTGCCACTCACACCAATATGGGGGTTCCTTTCAGCTTCATTTGTAAAGTGACAGGGCTGGCAGTGATGTGGGAGCACCGGTGGGAAGGGGTAGTAGAAGTAGGCATCTGGCTGGGGTTGTCTTGGGTCACCCATTGGGAGAATGCCTCTCTTACTTGGCCTCAGTCTTCCCTTGCTGAAGACACTGACTGTGACTCACTTGTGAGGCAGCTGTGAAGATGGGGTCATCACATCTGTAAAGGTGAAGGGAACGTCTGAGGTCTAAGGGTAACAGGATCCTCACCTCCACTGTCTCTTTGATGTCTACCTTAGTTTCCCTTTCGTGAGGTTTGGCTGAGGGGGCGTTGCTGACATTGGCTGGGATTGGTGACAGCCTGCAGTAACTAGAGCATCCAGACCGTGTCCTCCTGTACTCTGAGCCATAGGATCGGGGGAGTCAGCACTGAGCCAGTGTGTGGGTGTGTTGTGTCCCCGCAGAAGGAAGGGGAGTTCACTTTGCATGGCCGGGCCATCTTGGAGATGGAGCAGTTCATCCGAGAGACCTACCCGGATGCTGTGAAGATATGCAACATCTGCCACAGCCTCCTCATCCAGGTACTGATGATACAGTGGGAGCGGGGTCCTGATGCTCAGCCCACTGGGCCTCTACTGTTGTATCCCCCAGGAGCAGGCACCTTCTGGACAGGCCATGACACACTCACCTGCTGGTGCATCCCTAGTTCTCTCCCTGGGCATTCCATTCTAGCCCAAGGTGCTTGTGGGTGTTGGCTGATAACTTTTCAGGAGAAAGAGTCTCTTAAGTCTTGGTAGCTCTGTGACAAATGTCTCTCCGTACCCACCATTCTGCTTCTCACTGCAGCTTTGCAGGCTTTCCCACCATTCAACCAGGCTGGGTGATTATGTTTGCTTTTTTTAAATCTTGGGCAACCAAGCTTCATGCTGATCTTCTGTGATGGTATCCACAGGTGCCTGTCATCTTTCCATGGTCAGACTCTTGGAGGTGGAGTCTGTGACTTACTGCATGCTTGTGTTGATCTAAAGCATGTGATACATGTTGCCACTCAACCTACTGCAAAGCTCTATGTCTATACCTCCCACCTGGGGATCTCTGAGCAGCGAGCTTGAGTCTGGAGCTACAGGGACTTGGAGAAAGTGAGGTTTTCAGCTTCTCCCACCTGTGTCCACTTGTTCAAAATTCTGTAGTACAGGCCCTACAGTAGGCCTTGGGGTCTGGAAGTTTAAATCCTCTAGCCTGCTAGCTATTTTCTTGCAGCTTTTTGAAGGTTTGTGAAGTTGAGGGATGTCCTGGCTCCATGATTATTGGCCTTTCTTGTTTCAGGGTCAAAGCTGCGAGACGTGTGGTATTAGGATGCATTTGCCTTGTGTGGCCAAGTACTTCCAGTCCACCTCTGAACCACGCTGCCCGCACTGTAATGACTATTGGCCCCATGACATACCAGGTACATGGCCCCCAGAGTGCCCAGGGGACAGGGGGGCCTTGTGATGGCCTCAGTTCTGAGGCTGGGCACCAAGAGCACCTTTGGAAGGAGGGCTGAGGAAGACTCCAAGCATGAAGGTCAGTGTTGGTGGCCTGCTGAAGCACAGGTGAAAGCTGACTTCCTGCCTTCTTCGAAAGGGCTCTAGAATCCACTAGAGACCTCAAGGCTTGTGAGAGTCCCAAACAAGGCTTTCCTCATAGCCCTCCAGGAAGTGGGATGGGAAAGCTACTTCCCAGCTCCCTCAGTGAACTTTGCTGCCTGGCTCACGTGCTGGGGGAGGAGGGTTAGCAGTGAATATTACAGATAGGACAGGTCCTCTCCATGAGAAATAGCTATGGACATCAGCTGTGTTCTGTGTGGTCAGTCCATTCATCATGCTACTCACTGTGTCTCCCTCCTGTTCTGTACACAGAAGTCTTCGACCCTGAGAAGGAGAGGGAGGCTGGCGTCTCCAAGTCGAGCAGAAAGTCCTTGCGGACTCGTCAGCACTAGCTGCGTCCTGCGTGGCTCCGGCTGTTGGTGGGCTGACCCTCATGGCCCAGTTATCACAGGGGCCTGGCCATCCACATGGCACATGAACTGCCTCCATTGTTAACTTTGCTCTTAACACATTTTTAGTAAATGTTTCCTGATGGTTGCTGTGCTCTGCAATCTAGAGCTTGTGTGGGGCTGGGTTCCCCATGGCGAGGAGTGAACAGAACGGCAGCCCTGGGCAGGTGTCTCTGTGTCTGGCTCTGGGAGGTTTTGCTTTTGTTGTGGTTTTGGTCCATAATCTTGGCCTTGGTGTCCACAGCTACAATAGCACCTTACTCTGGTCCCAAATGCAGTAGCCCCTTGCAGGCTGGGCTGGACTTGATTTGTGCTGTTCCCATGGGGCCTTTTGTCTCCCATCTGCCCACCAGTTATTTCAGCAAGTAGCCTGAGAGTCAGTCCAGCCTCCTTGTCCCTGGCATCTACATCAGGGACATGGCATCTACGTGGTCCTCAAATCCTGTCCAGCCCTTGCTGTTTGGTGTCCAAACCAGAGCACACCCCTCAGCTTAGCAGCTGTATGGCGAGAAATCCATGGCTTGGGAGGCAGCCAGGGTCTGAGCCAGCGGGAGTAAGAGGCTAGCTCTCCTGGCGATTTATCTACATGGATAAGGGCCAGGGAGGACCCACCCAACCCATGTTGGGCGCCAGGTATGGTGAGAAATCCATGGAGTCTGTTTAAAGGACGAGGAATTTATTAGGGGATAAGAACTCACTACAGCACGAGAGATTTATTGTAGGATCCTGGAAAGCTGAGCTGTGGTCCATGCTATTCTTCTGCCTGGTCCATCTCAGCATCTAAAACCACGAGTGAGAGAACAGCGCGCGTGCATCTCAGGTCTTAAGCGTCCCAAAAGGCCATGCCCCAGGGCATGTACTTTAAGGTCATAGACAGATAGAGCAGTTACCTGCTACATCTCTAGGGGCAGTGCTTCAAGATCACAGCCAGAATAGCTACCTACTACACAGCTGCTCTGTCTTTGGCTCCATTTCCCTTGACAGTCACATGCCACACCCTGCTGAGGCCCTGTTTTGATTTCGGATGACTGGGTTGAATTAGGACTCACAGTGATGGTTCTCACCCGCTCACCTCAGCCTGCCTTCCTTCCTTCCTCAGCTCCTCCCCTTTGGTCCCTGGGCTCACCACTGCAGTACCCAGTACCCTTCCTTGATCTGCCACACTGTGGTTCCCTGCCTGCTTCTATTCTGCCCCAACATGTCAGAACCCATACTGGCTCAGATGAGGAAGGATCTGGCCATAGGTTCCTTCTAGAGGGGCTAGGCTGGTGGTTCCAGTGATGTCACACAGGTCACCCCATTTTTTGCCTCTGCTGAACTCGGGCAGAAAAGCAGAACCTGTCTAGAAAAGCCAGGGCTTGGAGTTGGGGCCTGTGGGTGGGGAGCGTGAGTCCCCAGTCCCAGGATGCCCTGCACCCTCAGAGCCTTCAAGGTGTAGCTCAGGGGTAGTCCCTGCAGCCCTGCCCTCAGGACTGCACTGGGCAGGGTGGCTCTTCAGTCCCTGCTTTGGGATGACCAGTGCCTGCCTGTCCTGTGTTGCAGTGTTACAGTTCAGGTGACCGAGGAGCTCTGGAGATAGTGCCTGTCCTGCCACCTGTCTCCCTGTCTCCAGCATTTTACCATGGTCTCAACCAGTCAGTGTAAGCATCCCGCATGGACCAACACTCCCCACCCAAGACCCTCACCATCCCAGAGCCTGGTCTGATGTCCATCTAGGCCTTTGCAGTCTGTCCTGCCCCCTCTGCCACTGCCCTCTGGTCCCGGTGCCACTGGGTGGAAATCACTGACTGGACCAGGTTCCTCTTGCTTTCTTCAGCTCCCAGCCTTCCCACTTGCAGGTCTTTGTCTACACTGTGGCATCTCAAACCAGTTGGCCTCACCCGACTCCCAGCCCTGACCCTGTTCCAGCTCCGCTGTTCCTTCCTTTTCCTTTCCCAGGCCTGGTTGTCCCTCTTGGGGCTTGTCCCAGTTTACTTTTATTGATGTGATAAATACCATGACCAAAAGGAACTTGGGGAGGAGAGACTATTTCTCCTTACAGTTCGCAGTCCATCACGAAGGGGCAAAGAGCTCAAGGTACGAGAAAACTGGAGGCAGGAACTGAAGCAGAGGCGTGGAGTGCTGTTTGCTGGCTTGTTCTCCGTGGCTTGCTCAGCCTGCTCTCTCATACCACCCAGGATCACCTGCCCAGGGGTAACACTGCTCCTAGTGGGCTGGGCCCTCACATAGCAATCATAAATCAAGACCATGCCCCACAGACTTGCCTCAGGGCAGTCTGAAGACGTTTTCTCAATTGAGATTCCTCTTTCCAGATGACTAGCTTGTTGTCTACTTGACAACAAAAATCTCAAACAAAACTCAATCTGGACAGGGCTGCTGTCCCTGCTGTTGGGAGTGGGTCCTAAAGCCAGCCGTCTGAGGTCCTGTTCTGTCCCTCATCATTTTCTCTTCCACTGTCAGCCACACAGACATGTCCCACCAGCCCCCCTTGCTGCCCTGTCCTAGCCTCTCACCCTGTCTGCTGCATTAGCTTGGTTCAGGTTTATCGTATTTTGGTCTTGCTGACCCCTACTCCATGGTGTGTTCAACACCAGGACAAGAAGCCCACACAGCTGAGTGCCATGTCTCCAGTCCTGGCCCAGGACCATGGGTGGGGAGCAGATCCCATGTGTGAGTGACAGGCTGATGGGTCTTCACACTTGTTCTTTTCTTCACTTTGAAGGGCCTGTTGGCTCTGTGGTTCCAAGCCAGCTTGAGAGTCCACACTCCCCAGTGAGCACAAGGCAGCCCTAAGGCGGGTTTCAGCAACCTTGGAACCTGCCCATAGGTAGAGCCATTCCGTCCTCCTTGCCTCCCACCTGGTGATGGCCATCTGCTGCTCAGCAGTGACCAGGATAGTACTGAGCCTGCTGGTTGTCATAGGTGGTACTGTAAAGGCCAGGCCGCTGCAGGAAGCTGAAGCCACTTAGCCAACCCACATCTAGCGAAGTGTGCCAGTGCTTGAGCCACTGGGGATGTGTGGCTCTTCATTAGGTTACGTGGGCTGGAATGCTGGCCTTCCTACTGTATACCTTCACTGTTCCAAGCAGCACTGCTGTTGTAGTAACTGTCCAGGTAAGATTACATAAGCAACTGTCAGTGCCAGACAGGATGCCAGCCTCTAAGGTCCCTGTTACCTATTCCCTGGGCTTCTGGCTGCCTCAGCCTGCTGTAATCCCTCCCTGCCAAAGCTAACTGTCTAAAAAGCCATACTGTGGTGGTCTAGATTCCCAAACCCTGTGTGACCAAGCTCAGATTCCTTGGCCTGGTCACCTTGTCATGTGGGGTTGTGTGGGGCTGGGAGCTAGGCTGGTCCTGTCAATCATCAGCCATCCATGAAGCCAAAGGGATTGCCCGAGGCCTAGCCACCAGCATCCTTACTGGTGATCCTTGGTTTGAACTGAAGGGACCAGCATTGATACCGGGGGTCAAGACGTGGGGAGGAGATGAAGTCAGAGCTGCCCTCTTCTGCCTTCCAGAAAAGGGAAAACTGAAACCACATGGAGACCAGAGAGGTGGAGGAGGGGAAGTCGGGAACAGTCCAGACCTGTTCTGAGCCACCCAGGAGTGCTGTAGGAACCCCCAGGTTTACATAAACTAGTTCAGGATGGGTTTTATCACCAACAAGCCCGGCCAGTCCATTCAGAGCTAAATCTAGCCCATCTAAACTACCTTTAGTTACAGCCTGAACTGCCAGCCTCCCAAGGCTCCAGTCACCACCCACTGTGCAGGCCCCTTGGCCTTAACCACTCCTGCCTGGCCACCCTTTCATTGTCCTGACTGCTCTGGTCTCTGCTTCTCTGAGCCAGCCACCTTTGTGGGACACATGTGGCTCCCCCTCCTTCAGTACTTCCCACCAAGAGAGCCCATGGGCGGGGGTGTCTCCCTTCTAGGCCCCATTCTCCCTACTGTTCCTTTCCCAGTGCCTCTTTGGTTGCCTGCCTTGCTACAGGCAGCCGGGGAATTTGGTTGAAGAAATGTTCTTTTAAATTTAGAAAATATTTTTATTTATGTTATTGAAAAATTTTAAGTTACAATGAAAAGAAATGAAGCATCCCTAATCTGGAGGGCCTAGGTACACATAGCAGCCCTGCCACATGTGGCTTACAGAGAGTGGCTGGGGGAGCAGGACTGGGGGAGTCCAGCAGCAGCCAGGGCCTACACCTTCCCACTGGGCTCACTGCCTTTGGGTGAGGTGTCTGCTCTGTGGGTCCTTTCAACGCTGGCCCTGGCTATGACCACCAGAAGCTGACCGAGAAGCTCAGGTCCAGGGAACGCACGTAATGCCAATACTTAGCAGGTATAAAGAGGGTCTCTCCTGGGGACAGGACGCAGGACAGGAATGGGGCCTCAGCGAACTTGGGGAACTTTTCTAGGTTGGGGTTCTCCACATCAACCTGCAGAAAGCAAGAGAAGTCACCTGCTGGTCTCTAGGGACAGCAGGCCCCATGTCACCGATTCCCCGTGTGCCCACCTGGCTGGTGTTATGAAGAAGGTGTGTCTCATGAGGGTACACAGCCTCAGACTCCTGCGGAGAATACAGCCGGATGTACTTCCTTCCTAATACCTGGGAGAGAAGAGGCCCATCAGCCCCAGGACAGCAAGGCTGGCCTGCTGACTACAGGCCTGTGGACCTGTCCTTGCAGGCCTTCTGGTGGTTTGTGGCCTGCTGCCTCATCCCACACATGCTCTGACATCCTGAGAATGCTCACCTTCGGGTACCTTATAGATCAGTGCTCTGCATGCAGCTAAGCTCAGCCAAGCACTGAGTGTGAACCTGGCTTAATCTCAGGGGAGTTTCCTCTTCACTTGTGAGGAAACAGAGGCAAAGTGAATTGCCCAAGTTTACTAAGGCGACAGCTGGTGGCCATGGTGGGCTCCTGGGCCCTGGCTCTTAGCTGTTCCTGAGCTGCCTTGCAGGGCTGGCCCAATGCTCTTTTTAGCAACTTAGCCTGTGACAAGTTCTTACAGCAGTGGATGTGTGCTGCTTCCCTGTGACAGACCTTTGACGAATCTCTGGAAACATCTGTCAGTGGCTGAGAGACCTGTTCCATCAGCCCTTATCCACAGGTGCAAGCTAGCAGTGGGAGAAAGGGTGGCTGGCAGGTGATAGAGCATGGGGCTGCTAGAATGTGCCAGGCCCTCTTCCCAAGAGCTTTCCTAGCTGGCCCAAGAGAAATCCCACTTGGGTGCAGACTTGATCAGGGAGAGCTCTACCCTAGGGCCTCAGGACTATTTTTTTTTCCTGTCTACATCCCTTTCACTCCCCTTTCCTCCTCCAATCCCCTTTGAGACTAGGTCTCACATAGCTCAGACTGCCCTTGAACCTCCCAAGTGCTGGGATTATGGGTATTTACCACAACAAGCTCCTTACTAATTCCTGTCTGGCAACTCCTACCTGGACCAGGAAGTTCTGCTGGGGGTCATGATGCAGTGGGGAGATGGTTCCTTGGGGACCAAACCAGGCATTGATAGTGATCTCTTCCTCTTCCCCATCACCCAGGCAACAGTAATCAGGGATGCTGATGTCCTGCTTCAACTCTGGGATCTGAGGGTAGTGCAGAAAGCAGAAGCCAGGGGTAGGGATGCCAGCCAGGCCCCAGCTGATACCCGACTCCCTGACAGCCAAATACACTCCTTGATTCAGTTTTTGTTTTGTTTTTGAGACAGTCTCTCTCTTTCTCATCCTCTTCCCTCAGCCTCCCAAGTACAGGTGTTAGAGGTATGTGTCATCCTACCCAGCTTAGGATCATATTCTAATGAATAAAACCTTAAGATATAAATAATAGGTAAGAATTATAATCTTACTTCATATTTGTTTCTATATTACGTAGATATTTTTCTTTTTAGAAACCTGGTATTGCTCTATACCCCAAAATGGAAGAAAAACGCATCCTGCTTTTTGTTTTGTTTTGCTTTTGAGACAGGCTCACTTTGTAGCCCTGGCTGGCCTGCACTCACCATGTAGATTAGAATGACCTTGAACTCACAGAACTCCACTTGCCTCTGCTGGCATTAAGGCATGAGTCACCACACCAGTTAGAAAACAACCATAGGTATTGTACTTGTTGGTGCATACCTGTAATTCCAGCATTTGCAATGCTGAGGCAGGAGCATGACAAGTTGGAAGTCAGCCTGGGTGACATAGTGAGACCTTGTTTCAGAAATAAAAAAAACAGTCCCCAGAAGTCAAATGCACTGGATATTTATCAGATCTCTGGAGGGGATGGTTTTCAAAAAGTTACTACCTGTTAAGAAATCACAATTGGTATATTTTAAATAAATTACTCCAAAGAGAGCAAAGTAGGCGCTTACTAAACTCACTCTGGGAAGGGAGGAGTTATTGAACAGTGTTCAGAAGTCAGAAAAGAAAGCTTTAGGGCCAAGTACATACACTTCTCAGTTACCAGGGGGCCAAGGCAGGCACTCGGAAGCAAATTAGTGGTAAGGAAGGGTTTGGGTCTTATTAGCGAGTGAGCAGAACTGACCCAGCAGTCAACATTCTCCACTAATGACATTAGCAAAGGCTGAAGACTTGGCCTGTGCAATGGGGGATATGACAGGCTGCTGGACCTTGATCCAGACAGCAACCAGATAACCAGTGCAAGACTTCAAGAGCCTCGTGGGAACTGGGTTCCTTCAAGGAGGCTGTGGTCTCAGCCACTCTCAGGAGTAGCAGTGAGTAGCCTACCACCAGGTGGCATTGGAAAATGCCTCCAAGATGCCCCTTTACTTCTGCCCCTACTTCCCTCCCTGGCCACCTACACCCTCTGAACAGTTTACATTCTTATCTCCCTGGAACAGTGGCATGGATTTTTCTTGGCCTCTGGCTTTTCACAGGCTTGTGCTACCTAATGAGACATGTTTGAGAGGTACACAATGTGGTGATACATAAGGGGTGGTTTCTGTCAGGGAATAATGCCACTGTCAGGTTCAGTGTGGGGCTCAATGTGCTGGCCTGACCTCTGGGAAGAGCTGTGGCCTTGGCATGAAAAAGCTACTTATTGGAAAGTCCCTACCCACAGTGGGCCCTTTGCAACTTGGACCTGAGCCCAAGGGTGCAGGCTCAGCCCCTAGCACCAGGCAGCCTGATACCTCTGGTCCTGGGGGTACTTTTCAACCTTGAGGTGAATGGAAACAGATGAAACTCAAGAGCCTTTCAGAGAGCAAGTCTTCCTTGCTATTCCTTCGCTGATCTTACTACAACCTCTTGCAAGTCAGAAAACCAAAGACCATTCTCCGCCCCTCTGGGTGGGAAACCAGAATGTTCTAGCAGGGAGGTTGTACCAGCTACTTCTCTGTCTCGAGTGGTCAGTGTAAAAATCGCTGCCTTATAGGCTGGTTGTTGGAGGGCTTAGTGTTGCAGGGTGTCCTTGGATAGTTCCACAATCCACAACATGGCTAGACCCCCAGGCTCCTCACATACCACATTAGTGTTTTGATTGAATGGCACCAGGTCTTGCCACCAGATGCTGAGCATAACTCTGGTTGGTTCCTGATGATGCCATCAGGATCTCTGAAGGGTGATTGGTTGGCTGAATCTCATCAAAATCACTGGTTAAGGATTTAGAGACTCTCAGAGAATACATGCTCTGGAGATGTGACTATTGACAAGCCCAAGGCAGTGGCCAGAGGCTTCCAAGACTTGTCAATAGCTTAAGCTTCCTATAGACACAGAGGTCCTAGAAAACAGCCTGTGCCCTGTCCCCAGGATTCATGGCTGTTCAGACTCCTCTTTGAGGTGATATGAGCAGCAGAGGAAAACTAGGGACCTGAGGGACAGATCTAAGAAGCATGATCTGGCTGAAGCAGCCTTACACAGTTCTAACTCATCTTAAAGTTAATAGCAGCTTTGCCTTCTAGCCCTGGGTTTAGAGTTAGACACCTCTGAGTATATGTATTGAAGGTTTTTCCAGAGAGCTTTAATTAAGGTGGAAGGATTCACCTTGAATGTGGGTAGTGCCATTATATAGGCTGAAGTCCCAGACTGAAAAAAAAAGGATAAAGGCAGCTGGGCACCAGAATTCATCTCCACCTTATGATACAGTGTGACCAGCCTGCTGCCATGCCTTTGTGTCCCCTCAAGTCAGGAGCCTAAGTAAACCTTTAAGTAGCTTTTGCTAATGCACTGGCCGAGCCCCGGGCCAAGCTGAGGCCACCCCAGCCAGTCACTCCTGGACTTCCTGGTTCATCTGCTGTGGTTTGATTCAGAGTGAATAGGCTCCCTCCTCTGCTCCTTTCCTTTGCCCTGCGGGTCTGCCATGCCCAGGTGTCCACAGATCCCACACAGCCTAAGCTGTTCCTCCTCTGGCTCACCTGTTTTCTGGTTCTAGTAGCAGCTGCCTCCTGCCTCCACTTATCTGCCGTCAGCATCAATGCATCTCTGATGGTGGCCCTGGTCACTTAGAGCCCTCCCGAAGGTCCCAGCCCTTCACTGGTGCTTCACCATGCCATCCGAGAGCCTTTCCCAGCTGTGTGCCTAGTGGAAGGCCTCCCTTTGCTTCCTTTGAAGCTCATGGTATCAGAATCCTGAGGCTGAGAAGTGCTCTTTCCTGTCCCCAAATCCCCATTGACTGGCTCAGGGGTGGGAACAGGGAGGGGCTCCCAGAGAGTCCCCCACTGACATGGAGTTCCCACTGTGCACCTTAGTCAAGGCCCCAGAGAAGCAGGAAGGGCTAGGGCAGGAAAGAAGCCGGAGTCTAATTTCCCCAGGATGAGCCCTCTGCTGCTGTTCCAGTATCTTAACCAGATAGCTTGCAAGGATTCCCTATGCAGCTCAGGCTGGCCTTGAACTTAAGATCCTCTTGTTGCAGCCTTCTAAGTGCTGAGATTCCAGAGGTGTGCACCACATCCAGCTACAAGCAGCTCTGAAAATGGAGGGCAGTCTGGCTGCTGGTGCACACAGAATCTGTTTTCCCACAGTGATGGTCATACATGCAGATGATGTGGGGGCTGCAGGCAGGAGAGGGGAAACCCCACTGGCTTCTGGTGTCTGTGTGCTCTGCTGAAGTTAAATTCTGGTTGAAAACTAAGAGGTGACTTAATTATGAAGGCTCTGCCTCATGGACCGACAGATGCTGTTATGGTGTGCAACACAGGAACAGGCTCGCTATAAAAGCAAGCAGGTCCCACCCTGCCTATTCTCTTGTTACATGGTGTCCTTTGTTAGGCCACTGGTGTGCTAGATAGCCCTCATCAGATGCGGTCCTTCGAACATCCCAGACTCCAGAACTAGATAAACTCCCGTTGTTTATAACGTATCCTGCCTGTAGTATTTGTTACCCAGCACTCAGACAAGTGTGTACCCTGATTTTCTTTCTTTACCCCCAACCGGGCAGCTATCTGCCCTCTCTCCTCAGCTCCAGCTCATGACATCACACACCTGCTGTGGCCAGCCACCAGCTAGCCTTGATCCTGCTTTCTAGAGGCTCCTGGGCTGCCAGTGCTGGGTGGCCGTGGGCTACTCCAGGAGGGGCAGGCCTAGTGATCTGCTCTGGAGAGGGAGCAGCAGCACTGACTGCCCCTGCAGAAACACGCATCGTTTCACGGTGCCAGGATCTCCAGGGAGCCTTCGTGCTCATCACGGGCCTCCAAGGACTCCACCATATCCAGATTAAATCTTGGTCTGGCCTTCAAGGCCTCTACCACCTGGCTCTCTGGCTCTTGCGAATAACCCCCTGGCTGGTGGCCTCTGCACTCTCCTGGTGCTTTGGTGTGGGGGCACTTCTCAATTCTCCTACCTGGTCCCACTCCAGCTCAGCCAAGCTCTACCTTCAGTCTTTGGCAGGTCATCCTGGGGCTCCAAACTGGGCCCCCAGACTCAGCACACTCAATTTCTCAAACCTGGCCATTCAACTTGCCCCACTGCTGCCAAGATAATAAGGGAGACCCCTTGCTCCAGAGAACAGAACCAGAAGGTAGCCATGTGTGCTCCCTGGGAGGAAAGGAACAGATGAGGGGTACAGGGCAGGAACATGGTCTCAGACTTACCTGGTCAAATAGCTGGTGCTGAGCAAGATACCCAATGTCCTTTGCCTGAACCAGAGGAAGAAAGTAGAGGTGACCATTGGTTAGTTTGTGTCAGGTAACTCTGGATGGCCCTATTGCTTAGTTGGTTGCTGAGCCCCAGCCCTGGGCCTACCCACCACTGCTCTGTGTGGCCCTTTCCCCAACCTGGAGCCTGATGTGATCAGTGACCTCCCATGCAGACATCTCCTGCAGCTTCTCCCTTAAGTAAACAATGCAGGTGTGGTGCATAGGCTACAGCTTTTCATTAGAAGTTGTTTTAAAAATCGTGGTGAGATGTCCAAGACATAAATTTTGCCTTTAAGTTCAGTCACACTGTCCATCTGTTAAATAGTAACTCCCATATACCTCACTCAGGATGTATTTGTGGATGAACTCATTGATGGTCATGAGGGTCTGGGACCAGTCTTCATCTGTGTACCTTGAACCCACTTCCACCGGGACAGTGCGATAGCCAGCAATCTCCTGGATGTACTGCAGACTGCAAGAGCAGGCATCAGCACCGTCACCACAGTCATCAGCATGCATCACTGCTACTGACATCTAGGAATGGATTTCTTTGGTTCTCATACTCACAAAACCTCATAAGGTGGAGACCACTATTGCCCTCACTCTCTTGACAGAGGTCTTACCATAGAGTGGTGACGCTACTTGCCCAAGACCACACAGCTTATGTGGCTTTGTGTATGAATCTAGATGGTTACCCACACCATGCCCAACCCTCAGGTTCAACCTTAGTCACATCAGTCACATACACAGTACGCTGACTACCTTTGCTGTCCAGGATTCTAACTTCACTTTTCTTACCCTGTCATCGAGCTGAGAAACCTTGGGACAGATGGAAAGCAGTGTGTGTGTGTGTGTGTGTGTGTGTGTGTGTGTGTGTGTGTGTGTGTGTTAAGTGCTGGCTCTGAACTCTTATAGCCTGGGGTGGGGCAGGAACCGTTTAGTGAATTACTTAACCTTCCTGAGTCCCTGCTCCCCATCTGTTAAAGGAGGTGATGCCAGTACCTGCCTCATTTGGAACATGACTGCTATGCTGTGCTCCTACAGAATTCCTCACTGGAGTCTCGGGCCACTTCCTCCACACACTCACAACTGGCCAACTCAACTCAAACCACTCCCTGGAGCTACAGTTGTCTTGCAGAATGCCCAGAGTACTGCTTACATGACCTCTGTGGATGCTGAACTCTCAGGATTCTCCATTCCTTATAGGAAACATCACAGTGTTTGTGAAGGACCTAAGAGCTTCTTCCCCTGTGTCTGAAGTCATCTCAATGACTACTTAGGCTCCCCACTGTAATGCCAATGCCATAGAATACAAGAGAAAACAAGGTTGTGCCCAGGCAGCCCACATGCTCACTCACAGCCCCCACTGTGTTTCTGATTTATAATGGGCTGCATCTGAGGACAAGACCCATGAACAGGGAAGGAGGAGGCAAGTGTACCCCCTCATTCCAAAACCTATTCTCAACTGCAGCCTCACACTTCTCTCAGGCAGCAGCTCTCAGGCATCCAGATACTCTGAATCCCAGGAGGAGCCATCTCCTGGGTGATTCCAGTCATGGCCTCAGGGCCTGGAGAAGGAAGACCTGTGGATTTCTGAGATGTGGCATCATTAACACCTAACATTTTTTTTGTTTGTTTGTTTTTTTGAGACAGGGTTTCTCTGTGTAGCTTTGCGCCTGTCCTGGATCTCGCTCTGTAGACCAGGCTAGCCTCAAACTCACAGAGGTCCACCTGCCTCTGCCTCCCGAGTGCTGGGATTAAAGGCATGCACCACCACCGCCTGGCTAACACCTAACATTTCTGAGCCTGCTGCTCCAGCACTCTTAAGGATTTGCTCAGGGTAAGCACATGTCAGCAAGCAACTTAGACCCCTGCAGAACTCTGGATAACTCACATTTTTAGGTAATTTTGAAAAATTCATTATTCCATGTGGTGGGAAGCATGCATGCCACTGTGTCACGTGTGGAGGTCAGAAGACAACTTTGTGGTTCTCTCCTTCCACCTGTGTGGGTCCCCGGGCTTGAATTCAGGCCACTAGGCTTTTGTAGTCATCTTGCCAGCCCCAGAGTATCCCACTTCATTGATCCTCGGCGATCAATCAAGGGGCTTTTGAAGGGTGGTCTGGGGCGGTGACTTATGAGTGGCCAGAAGAGGTCATCAGAGAGTCCTGGGGACACTCAGGAGGAAGGCCCTCAGTTCCCTACAGTGGCTACTCACCTCCACTTCTTCATGCACGGCCAGTGGTCAGCCACACCCTCCAAGATCACAGGCCTCCCAGGAACGAGAAAGTGCTTCCTGAAGTGCTGCAGGGTTGGGCATCGAAGTCTGGGTACTGCCCGCTCTAATGCCACATCCGGAGCTGAGTTGGAGTCACACCTCGCCTTCTGTTTAGAATCCAAACAAAGCAAGATGGCAGCTGTCTCTGGAGTCTGTACCACTGTCTCTGGAGTCTGTACCACTGTCTCTGGAGTCTGTACCACTGTCTCTGGAGTCTGTACCACTGTCTCTGGAGTCTGTACCACTGTCTCTGGAGTCTGTATCACTGGCAGGATGTCTTAGGTGTCATTACAAACAGCAGACAGCTTTTCTTTTTTTGTGTTGATCTGTGTGTGCTTGTGTGTGCACATGTGTGTGGCAGAGGACAACCTCAGGTGTTACTCTTTCTCATGCACTGTCTACCTTATTGAGATGAGTCTTCTCGCTGGCCTGGGGCTCATTGATTCAGTTAGGCTGGCTGGCTTGCAAGTGCCTGGATCCACGTGTCTCCACTTCCCCAGTTCTGAGATGACAAGTACATGCCACCATGCCAAGATTTTTATGTGGTTCTAGGGATCAAACTCTGGTGCTCCTCTATGTGTGGTAAGTTCCTCACTGAGCTATCTCCCCAGTCCCATGTTTTGTTTTAGACAGGGGCTCAACATGTAGCCCTGGCAGGCTTCAAAACCACAGACATCACCTGCCTCTGCCTCCAAAGTGTGAGGGGTAAAGGAGTTCACCACTACACTGAGCTATGTTTTGTGTTTTTGAGACAGGGTCTCACTAGGAAGCCCAACTTGACCTTGAACCCAGAATCCCCTTGCCTCAGATTCCAGAGTGCCCACCACACCTGGCAGTAGATGGCATTTCTATACTATTTGCTTTCACCAGCTCAAGGTCCCTTTTTCCTCAGCCATCTCATGATCTTAGAGCATTGCTGGCGGCAGTAGTCCTGAGTAGCTCTGCCTTGCATCCAGGCACTATCCTAGGAGTTTCCACACTGCCACCCAGTGGCTGCACCATACTTTCCTTATCCATTTCCCTCAGGTAAGCTGGGCGGGTCACTGACCATTCCTGGGCCTCCGTTTCCTCGTCTGTAAACTGGTGGTGACAACAGCACCCACGTGTGGCACCCAGGACCACTGGCCGGCCTGAACTGACCCTGCTTCCTTTGCACTGTCCCCACACTCAGCATGGGCCCCTTGTACAGCCCCCCATAGAGGCCTCCTCTGCCCTCCTCTAGCAACAGAAGATTCTTCTACAGCCTCACGGGAACATCAGCTCTGGGGTGGAGGTGCTGATATTCTGTGTACATGCTCAGCCAGTTCATCCAGGCCACTGGGGGAGCCCAGTGAGGTTGGTAAGTGGATGCCCTCTTCCAGTAAGGGACTGTGAGGCATAGAGAGGAAGGGACCCTGTCTGATCAGACGGGGTGCAGCATGGGAACTGAGCCCAGGCAGGCTGACTTAAGAGCCTGTGCCCTCTCCTCTTTGGCTATGCATCCTGCACCCCACTCCAAAGAGGACTGCTTTGGGCAGGATTCCACCATTATATCCCCTTGGGACACACTTGGTGGGAAGATGGGGGAGCGCACCCTTAGGTCAAAGGGAGCATTTGTCTCTTGAACTGTAGACTGTCCTGCTCTCTAAAGAGTGAAGCAGCGCACTACCCTATGGCCCCACAGAAGGCACCGGGCACCACATAAACACTGGCTGCTGTTAGTCCCTGAGGCTGGCTGCTTCCCTCTTAATTTGTAACTTCATGTTGTTATTATTTATTCACTTTTTTTTTTTTTCCAGGTGAAATCTCACTGAAGACATGGCTGGCCTCAAGCTCTCCATCCTGTGCCTCTGCCTCCCAGGTGCTCAGATTACAGACGTGTGCCACTATGCCTAGCTTCTCTTCATTTGGTAAACAGAGGCCAGTGGCTTCAGCTTTTCCCTACCGAGCCATTCAACTCCTCGGGTGAAAGGTTCAACCCTGCCTCTCTTCCTGGCTTGTGGATCTCTTTCCACTGTGGTCATATTCATGTGCTAATGACATCCATCACATCTTGCTTATACAGAAATCACACTCAACAGGACATTCTGGACCTGCAGGAAAGTACTGAGAAATACATGAGAAACAGTGCAGAATTCCATGGCTGGTATCCCACACAGCCCTGGCTTTCCTCTCTGGGGCTCAGGACCTATCTGACAATCTAGAGAAGAGGACACTGTAGCTGAAGCCGGCTGAGGTCTGTGTGTAAGCTGTGCTCCAGGTTTAGAATAACTCTGGGACGCTGAAACACCAGGCCAGCCTCCATGAGGCCTGCAGGGGCAGAACACACTGGCCTCCTGACCCTCGGTCTGCTGGCTGAAGGATCTCTCCCAGACTAGGTGGTGAGAAGGCATGTTGGGTTTCCTTCAGAGCTGCCTGGAAGCAATTTGCAGGAGGCTGCAGCAGGCTGGCTCTGCCTAGTTCCTGTGAGCTGCCTCTCTTAGATTAATGAAGCTGCCACCACCCCCTTTAAAGACACTGCCTTTGCAGAGACTTCTGGGTCCAGCTGCCCATTCCCCAAATCAACACAATGCTCTTTTCAGCAGAGAGGCTGCCTGGGTGAGACTGTACTCAGGGAGAGGACTGGATTCTTCTAGGAGATGGGTTGGGATGCTGGACGGTTCAGAATGGACAGAGACCCATACCTTGGTGGCAGGCAGGTCCTGGTGGGGGCCACAGGCAGGCTGCTTTCCTGGGAGAAGGTATGCCTGGAGGACTGAGACGACTTTGAGAAGGATGTCGTCAAGGATTGCTGCCCCCATCAACAGGCCCATGTCACACACCCGCAGTGCTTCGGCCACTGCAGTGGCCTTCTGTGGTGCCTGACACAGGCACAGGGTCTTCAGGAGGCAGCCGAAGGAGTATACGCGGCGCCATTCCTTGTCTACATCTCGCCAGGGCCCAGTGTTGAGCTTCTCCCAGGAGTAGTCCAGGATGGCCTCGTTGGCCTGCAGGCACTCCTGCCAATGTCCTGCATAGAACAGCCCCACAGCCTGCTGTAGCAGCATAGTCATGCTCCTGTCCACCTTCTCACTGAGGTCCAGCTTCAGCTCCCCCTCTGTATCAGGCAGGAGTACCCTGAGGTCCTTCCAGAGGGTGCTGGACCCCACCAGGGGCTCTGTAGGACCCTTAGTGTCCTCTGACATGATCCGCACCTGAGAGGAACAAGACAGGCGTCAGAGACCACACACACCTCCTACAGCTCAGACCAGCACTTTTAACAAGGTCTTCGCTGCCGGCTGCCCCACGAGTGCAGGGCCATCTTCGGGGTTCTCGGCTCTATTTTCAGGACCTTGCACAATGCCTGGCACTCTGCACACTGGACAGATGTCCATTCAGGGATGTGTGCTGTCCTCATCTGGAATGACTCCACCATGCCGCCTCTGCCTGATGGACTCCTGCCCAGTCTTTCAGGCCCATCCTAAATGATCGATGTGAAGTCTGAGGTTCCACAGGAGGGCTCTTTTTACAACACTTGTCACAAACTACATCCACAGGCATGTTCGTGTGGTTTGCCTCTCAAGGCTGGGCTGTGGCACATCCCATTTGGGTTTCCCCAGAGCCTAAAGCTAAGTCTCAATATAGGTGCAGAAGGAAGTGCTCTGTTTAAGTGTCCCCAAAGCCTGTGTGTGGAAGACTTGGTCCCCAGCCTGTCGCATTACTGGGAGTGGTGTAGCCTTTTAAGAGCCGGAACCTAGGGTGAGAAACTAAGATCATGGAGATGTGCCTGTAAAGTTGGACGCATTAAGACCCCAGCCTTGTTTCTTGGTCACCATAAAGCGAAGAGGCATCCGCTACCTCATACTCCCACAGTGATGGATTGAGTTGCCACAGGTCCAAAGCAACAGGGCCATGCAGCCCTGGACTGAAACCTCTAAAACCACAAGCCAACACAAACTTTTCTTCTTTTTAATTTATCCTAGGTATTTGTTACAGAGACAGAAAGCTAACAACACAAAAACCTAAGCAGAAAGAAAATGCTCAGCACTGGCAGTTTGGTGGCTTAGCCTGGGTGTTGTGTGTGCATGACAGTTGCTATTCTAACACTAAGAGGACCTGCAGCTCACGGACAACACGGCTCTCTATCTGTCCCCTCTATGTTCTCAGCACTATCCTAACAGCTGTGTCATCTGCTATGGGTCAGATGTGACTTATCCCTAAACTTTCATGGGCTTGGAGTTTGGTCCTCAGAAGGGGGACATTTAAGAGATGGGGCCCAGAAGGAGCTAATTAGGTCATTGAGGGCACCATTGCGGGAGGGGATCAATACCCGAATTACAAGAGTGGGCTAGTTCCTACAAGGGGGTTGTTGTAAAGTGATGTCACCCTCATTTGGCCTCCTTACACATGTATGTGCCCCCTTTCACTTCTCTGCCTGACGTGGTGATACAGCTTGGTGGCCGGTGGCCCTCATCAAATGTCTGTACCAAGCTGTTGGGACTCTGCAGCCATCAGAATTGTGAGCCAAGGAAACCTCTTCTCTTTATGCATCCCCCAACGTGTGTCAGGCAGTCTGTTACAGCATCCCTAGATAGAGCAGGACATCCTCTGCCTCCGATGATGTTGAGTGATGGGGACCATCATGATTTTGGCAGAGATTGTAAATGGTCAAATATGAAACATTAGGCTTTTTTGTCCACACAGCCAGAGTTGCCACTACTCTACCATTCATGAACCAGAATAAACAATTAAGGGTGGCTATGTTCCAATAAAACTTTATTTATAAAAAAACAGAGGGTGCCAAATGCAGTCTGCCAACCCCTGCTCTTTGTGTATTGGAGTTTTACCCCTGGGTTTCATCCCTGGCATGGGGTAAAAGAAAAGAATGAAAAGGAAAAGATTCTCCCCTCCCCCTTTTTGCAACAGGGTCTGTCTGTGTAGTCCTGGCTGTTGTGGAACTCACTATGTAGACCAGGCTGGTCAGATCTCTGAATTCAGAGATCTACTTGCCCCTGCCTCAGGAGTGCTGGGATTAAAGGCCTGTGCCCCCCCCCCCCCCCCCCGACAGACAGAAAAGATACCCTTTAACTTCTTCTTGGCTTAGTCAGACAAGCTTCCCATGTAATTTACTGTGACAGAAGCAAGTGTTACAGGAATACATGCAGTGACTGATGTCTGGCCACAGACACCTCCCACAGGTACCCTAGAAGGTGGAAGTGGAGTGCTCTAGGGCTCCAGGGAATAAAAGTCTCAGGTAGCAGGAAGCTGCCACATGGAAAAGGGATTGTGGGAAGGCCCGTAAACCTGGACAATCCACACAGGAATGGCCTGAGCAAAAGATAAGCACACTTGGCTGGTTAGCAGACTACTGCTGGTAATTCTAACGAGTGAGTCTGCACTGATGGACAGATAACAGCCCCTACAGACGTTCATATCCTACCTTTAAATGGTGATTATGTCACCTAATAGGGCAAAAAGGACTCTGCAGGTGTGACTGAGAATGGGACCTGAGATGGAAGATCATCCTGGATTATCTGGATGGGCTCCTGTATTACATTAAAAGGACTGCTTTGGGCTAGAGTCAGAGTTGCAAGGACATGTGACTTCAGAAGAATGGTCAAGGAAAGGTGAAGTGGCTGGCTTTGGTGACTAGTTAATGGGCCACAAGCTGAGAGGAATTCAGAGCAACTTCCAGTAGCTGAGAAAAATCAAAGAAATTGATTCTTCCCTGGGGCTTTTGGAAAGAAAGTCAGTCCTGCTGAGCTGTTGATTTCAGCCCAGCAAGACTGGTCAGATCCCAGCCCACAAGCCTGCTGTTTACAGCCAGTGCTTGTGGTAGCATACTTCAGCAGCCAGATAAAAAGAAACCCGTGGTACTGGAAAGTGACAGACACACGAGCCTGGAGCTAGCATCCTTAGCGACTCTCTACTGACCAGTCAGCTAGTATGTGTTGGCTCATGCCAACATGTTGGAAAGGCCACAGGCAAAGAGATGAAGAGAGCCTATAGCTAACAGAGAGCAGGGAGCAAGAGGCCCCATGTCCAGTAGCTGCCCAGCCCATGTGGAACTCTGACAGCAGAACCTGGGGAGCATTGGTCCCTGTCCAGCTGAGTCATTGCATGAGAGCTCAGCCCAGAACAGAGCCTTGTAAGGGATTCTGACACAGAGGACCTGGCCAAGCCATGCACCCACACCCAGCTCAGAAAAACAGTCCTAAGTGTGCATTGTTTGAGCCACTGAATTTACAGTCCACCATGCAGTGTCACATCTAACTCACACTCCATCTTAACTTCAGGGGCACCCAGGGTCCTATTATTCCCAACAAGGGGATCTCTGTTGCTCAAGCTGAGTTCCACAGGCTGAGTAATTTGGAAAGAATAAAGTTTAACTAGCTCATGGTTCTGGAGGCTGAGAAACTGATTTCACACATATGCTTCCAGTTCTAACTTATACTTCAGGGGTGGGTGGAGGCTTTTCCTACCTCCAACAAAAGAGCCTCAACCATCACCTAGCTCCATCTCTGAAATCATTCCCTTCTTTGGCCTCTCAACTTCCATTCAGTTGGACAATGGTCCAGAAATCACTTGAGTTATCACCCAATGCCGAGTTTTTTGCTGTTATGAATCGTATATAAATATCTGATATATAGGATATCTGATGTGACCCCCAAAGGAGTGAGGACCCATAGGATGGGGACCCCTAGTCTAACTTCACCCTTAGGGAAACTGACCAAACTCTCCATAGAACTAAAATCAAGGCTAGGAAAAGCTTCTTCCTCTAGACCTTTTGAGAACCTGCTCTCTCCCCCCAATCTCACACACCTCAGCCCCTTCGAGGTCCCGTATGGTAGACCTATTCTCCCCGCCCCTGGGCATTTATTCTTCAGACACTTCTTTGCTCCCACAGGTAGCATCTTGGTCAATGGCTATGGCAATGAACTCGCCTCCTCTCCCCAGCCCCTGTCCCCACTGAGGAGAGACACAGCCCTCCAGATGCTAGAGGACTTACCTGTTTTACCTGGCAGAGGCATACCACCCCATCCTGGGCTCCAAATGGACAGGACCCCACAAAATTATTCTCCTGACCCCGACAGCCACTGAACTAGAAAACTTCCCATCTTGGACACACCCCTCCTGTCTTAAAAGACCTGCCTACTCATACAGAATGGTCCCAACTGGACCCATGACACTAAAACTTGCTAGGCTCCCTTCTGCCCCAGAATGGCCAGCTGGAACTGACCCTAACACTTACTCTCTTCCAATCTGTACTAGTTGGGTTTTTCAGGAGGAAAAGAACAGGTAGAATGAATATATATGGGATTTATTAGAGTGACTTACAGGCTGTCCAGCTAGTCCAACAATGGCTGTCTTTTTTAGAAGTGGGGGGAGGAGAAAGGGGATTTATTAGAATGACTTACAGGCTGTGGTCCAGATAGTTCAACATTGGCCGGCTATGGACAGAAAATCCAAGAATCCAGTAGTTGTTCAATCTACAAGGCTAGATGACTCAACTGGTCTTTTGTATATACAAGAACCCCAAAGAAGTAGGCTCTAATGCCAGTGAAAAAATGGACTTGCTAGTAAGGCAAGGCAAAGCAGACAAGGGCAAAAGCTTCCTTCTTCCATGTCTTATATAGGCTTCCAACAGAACGTGTGGCAAAGATCAGATCTGGATTAAGGTGAGTCTTCCTACCTCAAAGATTCAGATTACAAGTAGATATTCCATCTTCAAATTAAGCAGAAACCCTTCACAGGTGTGCCCTCCATTTTGCGGTTTTAGTTAATTCCAGATATAGTCAGGCTGACAACCAGAAGCGCCATCACACTGGAAAAACAAAATTTTGGCCACAGATGGTGTCTTAGTTACGGTTTCTATAGCTGTGACCATAGCAATTCTTACAAAAAACAAATAAACAAACAAAAAACATTTAATTGGGGATGGCTTACTGTTTCAGAGGTTTAGTCCATTGTCATCATGGTGGGAAGTATGGTGATGAGAAGGCACATATGGCGCTGGAGAGATACTGACCAACTGTGGTGGTCTGAATAAGATTGGCCCCCATAGACTCATATATTTGAATGCTTAAGAAGTAGCAGTAGGAGGTGTGGCCTTGTGGGGATCAGCAGGAAGCACTGGGCCTGGCTGGGGCATTTGAAACCTCAAAGCCCACCCCTAGTGACACACTTCCTCTAACAAAGCCACACCTACTCCAACAAGGCCACACCTCCTAATGCCACTCCCTAAGTGTTCAAATACATGAGCCTATGAGGGCCAATCTTATTCAAACCATCACAGATGGCTAGCTAATGGCAAAGAATCCTCTCCAAAGGCCACCCTCCACCTGGAGGTGAAGGCTATGGACATCTTTGTCCCCATCCACACCTTAGATCCATGGGGAGTCATGCTCTCTTTCCCCTCAGAAAAACCAAGCCAGTCAAACCCCAACCAACACCTTGGATCCCAAGGTTCCCTTCCTTAAAATGCTTGCCATCATAAACTGTAGCCATGAAAATGCTCTCTAAAATTCATCTTGGAAAAGACTGTTGGATCTGCCTGAGGGCAAGGCAAGTTACATAGTTGGACATAGGCTTAACCAAAATCCCTTTAACCAATGACTTCATGTTCAAGCCCTGTCTTTGGGCCTCGCTGGTACAAACTGTGGGTACAGCTGACTGTGTGGATCCCCATCTCAACTGCACTAGGCTAATCTGCAACTCAAAAGCCCCTGATGACACCTATCTCACAGGCCCCAAGGCCTCTTCTCTAGCTACCCCTCAACCACCCCATGTGCTAAACTGTATACTTAGTTTCTGATCTTATAGTCATCCCTGGGAATAAAATTAATTACCAGCCCACCCCTATCTAAACGAAAAGGGATGGCATATTACTTTCATTCCTATCGGGAGTAACTATGGCAAGGGCTATGTGTAGCTAGAGTTTTCCTGCCTGGCCCATAGTCAGGACAAATCTCTCTCACCCGCCAGTCCCACAGCCACTCAGACCCAACCAAGTAAACACAGAGACTTATATTGGTTACAAACTGTATAGCTGTACCAGGCTTCTTGCTAACTGTTCTTATATCTTAAATTAATCCATTTCTATAAATCTATACCTTGCCACGTGGCTCGTGGCTTACCGGCATCTTCATAGGCTGCTTGTCATGGCGGCGGCTGGCAGTATCTTCCTCCGCCTTCCTGTTCTCTCAATTCTCCTCTCTGTTAGTCCCGCCTATACTTCCTGCCTGGCCACTGGCCAATCAGTGTTTTATTTATTGACCAACCAGAGCAATTTAACATACAGACTATCCCACAGCAGCTATGGGCCTGTGAGGAATGACCATTGGACTCCAACAAGTACAACACAGCTAACTTGCTCAACAAATCATGGCTGATCTGACACTGGTACAAGACAGCATTGAAAAACTCCAGACTCAGCTGGACCCAGCAGCCATGGTACCACAAAATAGACTGGGGTCTGATCTCATTATGGCAGAGAAAGGGGGAATCAGTGCTACGGTGCTATGTTAGGTGAGGAATGTTGCTTCTACATGAATTTATCAGGTATCTAAGGGAGAATGCCAGACAGCTAAAAGAAAGAATAGACTCATGAGCCAGATGCCCACATCAAGCTGGACAGGCTTCTGGGGCACTTGGGAAACATGAAAAACCCTGTGTATTGGGCCCCTCATCATGACAGTTCTAGCTCTAATCTTCTGTCCTTTTGTTGTAAAATCCCTCTCTAATCTGTTGCAGCAAAGAGTAGAAGACCTTATCCCCTCAGCCATCACTCAATTCTTCCTGCCCAAAGACTGTCTCAGAGTCCTGTGACCAGATGAGCCCAAAGAGTCAATATATGGGCTCGAGAAACAGAGAAACATCTCAAGTCAAAAGACCCTGAAAACCCCCGCTTTTTCTCCCTCCCCCTTACAATGACCCTCTCCTCAGCACGAAGCAGTTAAGAGAGGATGTCCCTGTACCCCACTTCAGGGTTTAGAACAATGGAATGCCTTGGTTGTAAAACAGGATTTCTACAGGATTAAACCCTGCTTAGCTGTTATGTCAGCCCATGCATTAGTCAGGGTCTCTAGGGCAGTGGTTCTCAACCTTCCTAATGCTGAAACCCCTTAATACAGTTCCTCATGTTGTGGTGACTCCCCAACCATGAAATTATTTTGTTGCTACTTCATAACTGTAATTTTGCTACTGTTATGAACTGTAATGTTACTATCTGATATGCAGGATAGACCCCTGAGAAAGGGTTGTTTGACCCCCAAAGCAGTCGTAACCCACAGGTTGAGAACTGCTGCTCTAGAGGAACGGAACTGATAAAATGTGTGTGTGTGTGTGTGTGTGTGTGTGTGTGTGTGTGTGTGTGTGTGTGTGTGTGTTTTATTGATTTATTAGAGTGGTTTACAGGCTGCGATCCAACTAGTCCAACAATGGCTATCTACCAGTGGAAGGTCTGAGAATCCAGTAATTGTTCAGTCCACAAGGCTGGATGTCTCAGCAGGTCTTCAGTATACAGTGAAATCCTGAAGAAGCCAGCTCTAATGCCAGTGAAGGAATAGACTTGCCATCAAAAGTGAGGGCAAGCAGGTAAAGAGCAAAAGCTTCCTTCTTCCATGCCCTTTATAGGGACCGACACCAGAAAATGTGGCCCAGATTAAGGACGGGTATTTCCACTTCAAATGCTTTAATTAAGAAAAATCCCTCAGAAGTGTACCCAGTCACTTGGGGTTGAATTAATTCCAGATGTAGTCTAGCTGATAACCAAGAACAGTCATCACAGCCCAGACAGGAATGTAGCCTGTCTCCCAAGATAATCTATCTTGCTTGAAACAGAGAATTCCAGGAAATAGGAACTGCAGACCCACATGTAGTCCTTACAGCTGCAACAATTTCCTCATTCCTAAGCCCAGCACCCCGCCCCTTTAAAGGGTTCCAACCAGCTTTTTCTCTTACGGACATCCCTTTTCCCACGGAAGAGTTTGTCCTTCACTGTTTGAAATAAATACTCCCATCTGTTGATGTCAGATGCTGGGCTCTCTCTGCCTTGTATCTCTTTATGCTGCCTCAGAAACATAACACTTATATACTGCTCCTTCCAATGGCCTGGAAGATAAGGGCCTCAAGTTGCAGACTATATGAAAAAGCATTCTGGGAGAGGGCCTCACACTGGCTGTAGTAAATCATCCTCTCTCAGACACATGAGCTAGCCTTAGTAGTTAAAAACAATTTAAATGACACCTACCGATTTGTGTGTATGTGTATACACGTGCTATGGTGAGCTTGTACCATGTGTATGTGTGGAGATCAGAGGATAACTTCAGGACTGGTTTTTCTCCTTTCGCCATGTGAGTCTCGGGAACTGAGCTCAATCTGTCATGCCTGGCAGCAAGTGTGTCCCCTCACTGAGCCCCACCTTAGAACTGTTGTTTATTCTAATGCAGAGTTCATCAGTGAATGTCTAATACAGCTGATGTTAAAAGACAGTCTTCCAGGGCCGGGCGGTGGTGGCGCACGCCTTTAATCCCAGCACTCGGGAGGCAGAGCCAGGTGGATCTCTGTGAGTTCGAGGCCAGCCTGGACTACAGAGTGAGATCCAGGAAAGGCGCAAAGCTACACAGAGAAACCCTGTCTCGAAAAACCAAAAAAAAAAAAAAAAGACAGTCTTCCAGAGGTGGGAGTTTCAGCCCCATAATGGCTGTCAGACTGCCTTGGTGGCTACTTGAAGTGGCTTCTGACAGGTCTACTGATTGACATTAAACACAAGTTTCCCACAGGGCCCTTCTGTTGTCAGTGTGAAGAAACCTCACAGTGAGTGGCATGCTGACCTCAGTAGTCTCATGGCTACCTCCCCAGCCTTTCCAGAACCTGCTTGGCCCTTTAAATAGCCACTATCTTTATATTACTCAACAGACATCCATCCAAAATGACTCAGTGAATCATTTTAAAAATAAATCATTATAGATTTCTGAGGTCCAAGTTTTGATGATACAATATTATGTTTTTGGTTGTGAGCCTAGCCTTTAACGGCTGAGCCATCTCTCCAGCCTGATGGTACAATATTATGAAAATATCTCTTGTAGTCTAAATAACTGGAACTTTTCTGGACCTCACAGCTAAAGTTAATAACACACCTTGAGTCAAGCCTCAAGACGGCCATGCTATTGTGCACTGTTGGTTAACCTGCCTTTAAGAGAACACTGTGCCAATCAGCGTTACTTGTGTTGGGTTTCCCATGAAATCAACTTTAATAACCTAAGCTAATGCATAGCTATAATCTTAAGTAATGCACTCTTTCATGCTGCTGAACTGTAGAGAGCCGTGCACAGCCGCGCCTCAAAGATGGCGCCGGCGTCCAGCTTCCACCTTCCCGATGGCAGGTGTTCTCTGGGATAAACAATTCCTTATTTGGCTTGGGCGTGGAATCTGGCTTGCTTGCATATGTCTGACCCTATCGGCATTGTCCACGTGGCACTACGGGGTTGGTTGCCCAGTGGCTATAAAGGGCGTGGGCTGGCTTTCCCGGGAGTGAGAAGATGGCTTTCCCCGGGGTCAGAAGATTGTTCAAGGTTCCTGAATAAACTGCTTGGAGAAGAGCCTGGTGTTGCGTCTTCCTTGCTGGTCGAGGTGGATGCGACAAGTGGTGTCCCATACGGGGAACCTTTAAGGCTCAGAACTCTTCGCAGTCAGGGCAGTGCACTGGTAAGTCCCCAGGTAAGGTGGGGATCCGCGACAAAAGTGGGAAAATTAAGTAGAGCCGCAACAAAAGCGGACGGGAAAATTAAAACGTAGAGCCATGACAAAAGCGGACAGGAAAAT